CAAAAATGGTGAGGGGGCTGGGGCACATGATTTATGAGGAAAGACTGAGGACTTATTTAGTCTAGAGAAGAGGAGATTGAGAGGATTTAATAGCATCCTTCAACTACCTGAAGGGGGGCTCCAAGGAGGATGGAGCTGGATTATTCTCAGTGGTGGCAGATGACAGAACAAGGAGCAATGGTCTCAAGTTGCAGCAAGAGAAGTTTAGGTTAGATATTAGGAAAAAAACTCTCTCACTGGGAGGGTGGTTAAGCACTGGAACAGGTTACCCAGAGAGGTTGTGCAATCTCCAGCCTTGGAGATTTTTAAGATCTGGGTAGAAAAAGCCTTGGTTGGGATGATCTACTTGGGGATGGTCCTGCTTTGAGCAGGGGGTTGGACTAGATACCCTGATGAGGTCCCTTCCAACCCTCATTTTCTATGATTCTGACTGTGTTGTGCCAGCACTTAATACCTCTGAGTCCTTTTGGTCAAGGGACTGAGGAGCACAAGGACCCCTGGATTTTTCTCCCTATGGATAATATCCCATTAGATGGGAAGGGTGATTACATAGGAGACCATCAGGATTGGAAAGTGCTGCTGTCTTTAACAAGCTTGGTGTTGGGCCCTACTGGAAAATTATCATGTTATCACCAATTGCTTTTCATTCCACCCTCCCCCAGTGAGGGGTGGGGGCATGGGGAGAGGCAGCAATGCAATGGGTAGGGTGCAGGGGACCATCCCCCTGCAACACACACACAAACCAGTCTGGCATTTTTTGGTCCTCCCATACCTAAACATCCCTTAAAAATGAATATGGTGCTAGTTACTGTGGTATGAACACCTTGAACAGTGTGCTGCTGGCTTCATGGGTTCTTCAAGGCATGGGCACTGGGGCCTGAATGGAGGCTAGAAGCCTAAAGCTCCCTTCCCCAAGTCAACCCCTACTCTCCACCTGCTTCACTCCCCTACTGCCATCCACGCTGCTCCACCAAGCCAGTCCCAGGGTGCGCTCCCTTAGCCACAGCCATCTTTGCTGGGCTTCCTCTCTTGAGAGCTTGGAAGACAACTACCATGCTCACCCCTTCCCTCCCTCCTCCCCCCCCACAAAAAAAAAAAAAAAAAAAAAAAAAACACAAAAAAAAACAACAACATGCAGCTCCTGCCACAGGGCAATGAAAACAGCTCCCCTGTAGTGGGGAGTGAAGAGCCAGCCCTGTCACTGTGGGAATGTGCAAGGAGCATGTGATGATAAGGTGACCAGGCAGCATAAAAGCTTTTCAGGTTTCAGTCATCCATGGTGGCTCTTAAACACACCTAGAGCCTCCCCTACAGCCTTTCCTTCTGCAAGGAGTCCTGTGAGTGTCACTGAGACTATACTGAGATGAGGGGACCATGATTTTATCACAGGAATATTGAGGGGGCTGACACTAATGTTCCAGCCTCTGGGCAGCCTAGCCCAGTGGTTCTCAGCTTCTCAAAGGCCAACCACCTCTCCATATCGCTCCTGTATTCAGCTGCCCCCTCTTTCAAAAACCTGATGTCACTCAGTTTTTTTTCTTTTTTGAAAATTAAAAATACTAGAGCAATCCTTCTGTTGGAAAGCGCTGAGCCCGCAGCAGGGCAGAATGTTTTGGACACTATTTGATTCCTATTTGAAAGCTCTGCATTTAGCTTATAAAGCACATGTAGGTGTTAGTGTACCTAACAGTGCTATTGTGGATACGCCATGGCATCCTTAAAAGGACCACACAGCACAGGGTGCCATGAACCCTCCTCCCCCCAGGTTGAGAATTACTGATCTAACTCAAGACAGTCCCTTCACAGCATCTATTGAAGTAAGCTTTTACTTATAGAGCTCTGATTTAGTTAAGTCTATAAGGTGCACATTCACACTGCCTTCTGCCTGAATTCAATTAACTACCTCCCCTGGCCCAAGAGCCTGTCTCCAATGCACATGGCTCACCTGGAGGTGAAGGCAGAAGGCCCCTGCCCCCAGGTGCACAAAAAATAAAAATGCAGGACATGTTAGCAGCCAAGAGCTCTTAACCCAGTTGGCCTTGCCAATAAAACCAGCAAGTCTCTTTGAATAACCAGTTTATTTCCAACATATATATAACTATACATCTGAGAGGGCGATTTCCAAAGCAAGTTCTTTTTTTGTTTGGTTGTTTGGCGCTCTTTTTTTTTTCCTTTTTCATTTTGCATATACCGAATATATAGCCAACCTTGGACAACACATCAGGGGCAAAAAATACACATGCAGAGAGGTTTGTTTGTTTTTTTTAAAAAGTCAACACTGTTACAGCACTTTGTGTCTTTTTTCTTTTAAATGAGCAAAACTTCTTAAAAAATCCTTATAAATTCTTTGTAATATGTTACACATTTAAAGACAATATTTACAAAAAAAAAAGAGGGGGAAAAAAAACCTTTACAGCAAATATTTGCATAAAGTATGAGAACAATGCATAACTGGAGTAACATTTCCATCCATTCTTTTTTTTTTTTTTAATCCCCCCTTCCCTCCCCCCCACACAAGGCCTCATTGGAATGGCTGCAGTTTGTAGTGGAAGTTGTAGCGTGACATTATTTCTATGTACAGGTTTCAGTTGAACTCTGGCCCCATGGAGAGGGGGGGCTAGACTTTCATTCCAGAGAGACAGTACCCTAGTTCATTAAGACAATCGCCAGACATTAGGCTACAGTTGGCGCTGCATGTTTCCTAAACACAGAGGACGTATTGGATTTTGGTTTAATGTCACGTTCGGGGTGGAAAAACAGAAATTTGTGCTGTGGCTAGGGAGCAGTGGAAGAACGGAGCTTACCATTTTCAAGGAGAGGGAAAATTGCTGACGACTGCATAGCACAACGGGCAAGTCTACATGTTTGTTTAGAAGTTGGCATGGGGGTGGAGGGGAAACAATCACCCCCTGCCCTATGGATCCAGTTCCCTGGGACAAGTTTGCCCAAATCCATTTTGGTTCTCCTGACACTGAGACATGAGGCCCCGAACTCTTGCAGTTAGCTCTTCTATGGCACTTTTATTCTCTTTTTGCACATGAAAGGCTGCATAATGCTCAGCGAATTCCAGTTTACGTAAGATCCTTACCTAGCAGAAGCCCCCAGTGGGCAGTCACCACTGGATATGGTAATAATCTCTTCCTATCCCAAACTGCACAGCTGCTGTGGTCCACCCCAGTGGTGGCTGCATCACACCTTATTTGCCACAGTGCTTTTGAGATTAAATGAAATGCAGACAAGGGTGTTTCTTCCTGCTGGGTGAGCAGGAGGGGACAAAGAGTTAGAAATGACAGGCAGGAAGGGGCAGGGCCACATTTGCTGAGGCTACATCAACTTAAAAGGGTTATGGCTAAAAAGCCTGGTGGGAGGTGAGCAGAAGCACCGGCACAGTGGACATGCCCCTCCTGGCAGGGCTTGAGCATCTGGGAAGATGGGGTGGTCTCTGCAAGGGCTGAGTGGGGAGCCAGAGAGCCAAGCCGTGGCTATCATTGCTGGGTTCAGAGATCCTTGCTGCAGGCTTTGCTGTCCTACAACCTCCCTGCTCCATGTCTGTTCAGGATGTGCAGCTCTGCACAGAGCAGGGCCTGGCTCCTGGGTCTGCCTCGCCTGTGAAAGCCCATGCAGTGTTCCCCAAGTGCTGCCCTGGCCCAGCCTTCCCAGGCAGTGGCCCATGTTAACATGACTTTGATTTTAACAGGCAGCCATGCTAACCACTTCTCCCCACAGCCACGGTGCCAAGTGTGGTACGCACACTGAGGGTGACTGGGCTCCCAACAAGAGCACTGATCTCATGCTGGAAGCTCAGGCCCTTAGGAGACCTGGGAGTGAAACGAGCCATGCGCCACAGATTGAGGAGGGAGTGAGAAGAATCCCACACTCAGCACACAGTGGGGAGGAGGGGGCACAGGGCTGAGAAGAGGCCATCTCCTCCCATCCCATGGGGAACAGTCTGTTGCTCACCTGACCCGGAGAAGCCAGCACAGGGTAGCTGTTGTGCCTCTGCACTTTGCTGAAGCCAGTGCTGCAGCCTGGGCTACCCCAGACAGGATGGTGCGCACCTGCCCTCACCGCCTTTCCCACCTGGTTTGACAAGGGGGCCAGAGGGAATGCACACGATACTCAGTGGTGAGGGCACAGACCTACCCGTCTCTGGCTGATGAAAGGACTCTGCTAAGTGCTGTCCCCCGGCTTGCTCTGCCTCCATCAAATGGCTGTGCAGAACCCAGCTAGTGCCAAGGCCCTATACTGACACCCTACCAAGATACGCCCGACTCCAGGCTGGCTGCTTGCTTCCAGGAGGACCCAGCTCTTGCCCCAGTTGTGGGGCAATTTTCACACACCCCCACACAAGGCCACTGAGCTGCAGCTGTCATGAGTCCGCATGGGGAAGCTGCCATCCTCTGGCCACGGCACTGCCAGGCTTCAGCCATGGTGGCTGGCAGCAGCTCCTCACACAACAGGGATCAGTGTGAGAAGGGGAATGAACCCCAGGTCCAATGGTTCAGCACAGGTACCTGACAGGAGTTGGCACCTCAGCAGCCACCAAGTGTCACTGTGCCCCTACCCAAATAGTTGTAGCAAGAGCCAGGCTGAGAGAGATCCCTGCAGCCAGGGGTAGGTGTCACCCGGCCAGCAAGGAGTGCACTC